TTTTTATCGGGGGGGGGGGTCGAGGAAGAAGTAAGAAGGGTGCCACAGCCAGGTCGTTTTTGCAGGCCGGTGGCTTCTGCGATCGAGCTCTCGGCCTTCGATGTGCGTTTTGAGTGATCGGGGTGTTCCATGGTCTGTTCTCAAAATCAATGTCCCCAGTCAGTCTTTCGACACGTACGCATGCATTGTCTACTCGTGGAGAACACCGACGGGGACGTGACGGCGGGCCCCTTTAGCGAGGGTGGGGCGGGACGGGCCCCTTACGCGGGGGTTAGAAAGCCCTTCTTTTCATGGATGACCGTTGCAAGTCCTAAAAAAGCCCGTTCTAATCGGAGTCTCTTTGTCTGATGTGTCATGTTTTTTTTTTTCTTTCCACAAACTCTTCTCCCGAGAAACACGAAGACGCGTCTCGTTGCGGTTTCCCCCGGGCGGGGTGTTTTCTTGTTTTTCTCTCTAACGAAAAGCAGGCCACATGTTGCTCAGTTCAACCTGATTTTTGCTGGAAAAAAAAATCAACATCTCTGCAAGAAATAAGCGGCTCGATAAAGAAGGAGGCCCTTGTGTTCTGCCGCCGCCACATGGCAAGCATAACGTGCATGGATGTAAAGGGGCGAGGTGCGCTTTGACTCTCGCACGTGAACATCTTGCTCAGCCCCCATTTTTGTTATTGTAACGCAACGAGCTCATCTCTGTCCACAGATGTGTTTTTTTTTTTTCCTCCGCCGTCTCGCTGTGTGTGCGGTCTGCAGAAAGCTGGAAGAGGAGTGTGTGCGATCTGCTCGGCTAGAGCAAGGACTGGCCGACGCGGAGGACAAACAAAAACGCCTCCGAAGAGTGAGAAATCCCCCGAGTCGAAGAACGTAGAGAAATATATGTATCAGGCATGTTTTAAGTATAGACCAGTAAGAGATTGGCCTGAGCGTGGAATGCCTATTGTTCTGGAAGTTGAGGTTTACGGGTTGAACTCCCCTTGTGTGGTTTGTCTTTTTTCGGGTTCTTGTGTGTGATTGTTATCGTCATCGACCGCTACCAGTCTGATGGATCAGTCACAAGACGGTCGTCCTGACAAGAGGAACAAGAAAATAGTAAGGAGCACTCGTTCGTGTGCGCGCGTGCGTGCAATGCGTGTTTTGCTGCTTGTTTCTTTGCTTAGCATCGACCGCACGGAAGAATGGCTCAACAACGTCGAATCTAGAGGAGACAACGGGCACAAAGGGACATTTTTCCAGCTCTTCTTTTCGATGGCGGCACTGATTTCGACTGTGGTACACCAGAGAAGACCCTTGTCCGCGGGGTGTGTGTCACCCGTTTCGTGTTGTACGTTTTTTTTGCATTTGGCATCGACCGCGCTAACCGGCTGACCAATGAAATGGCGAGATAAAAACGCAACACGAACACTTTCTAATCGAAGAGTTTTATAGACAGCGGGGGGGGCAGGAGTCGGACGGAAGAGTCCTGCTTCTGGAGTCCAAGGAGCCGACTCAATATTGCATCATCTCGTTCTCTGTGTGTGGGTTTAATCGTACACGTATCTGCAGAAGTTCGCCTCCGAGAAGAAGGCTCTGGAGCAGTGGTGGCGTTCCACTCTGGATCAGGCGGTGGTTTCTGCCCGGGAGACGGAGCGGTCAAAGGTGAGGTGGGCACAGTCTCGTCCGGGTACAGCGGTAGCGGGTACTAGCATACGGGTTGAGAGAGAGGGTCGAGACAAGCCACCACTGCTCTCTTCTCTTTATATTGCGGGTTGTCTGAAGAAATCGTAAAATGAAATGCCTGGTACAGCAGTGTCTCTTATAACGTAGCCGAGACGAAGGCACTTTCGCTCTCGTAAATCGAAAGCTTTCTCTTCGTTAGTTTCTCTTTAGTGTGCCTCTCGTTCGAATTGTTACTATTGCAAGCCTGGAATAATCACCATGTAATGGAGATGCGCAGCATAGCACAGCGCGATAACGTTCTTGACGGGTGGTCTAAATGGAGCGTGAGGCAAGGCAACGATCAACGATTGCAGTAGGGGGAAGAGGAGACAAGACGAGGAACATGCGGATGTGTGTTGTTTTGTTGTGTCAGGTAATTTGGTGCTGGTTTTGGGTCTTCGCGGCGACAAATCGTCAGAGCATCATGCGTGTGGCGAGTGGAACAAAATGAGCCATCTCTCTCGACATCATTTTCGTCAGAAAAATAGGAGAAAAACAAGGGTACTGATGCATTCATGCCCCCCTTGGCATGTACCTATGTTTTCGCACGAAACACACTGAACAAATCCCTTAAATTTTATTATTTTGTTTTGCGCACAAGTGTAAACAAACCCCGACCCGTACCTGGCGGCCGCTAGACGAAGCACAACCCATGGTATATTCTTTTCTCGACATGTTTTTCATCACCCGGTCGTGTTTTTGTGGCGGCGGCTAATTCTTGTGTTGTGCCTGCCAGGCAAGCGCAAAGGTTGAGGGTGCGATGGTCAGGCGATTGCGGTCCCTGTCCACCGAGGTGGCTACACTCAAAGGAAAGCTCAAGCTTCTGCAGGTAACATGCTCTCTCTCTTCCTTCTCGCTCTCTGTCTGGGCGCGCCGCTTTGAGCGCCGGGCACATGTGTCGTGTGTTTTGTCGGAGAGAGAGCCGGTGTTTGTTGCGTGCTTGTGCGTTTCCTTTGGGTGTCAGTTTGTAGATTGTAGGAAAACTTCTCCGATTGCTATATTGCTGTTTTCGTTGTTCTTCGGCACGCAAGGCGACCCGTTAGCCGACCAGTACCCCCCCACCCTTCTAATCGAACAATTATTTTTTTAGGAGGAAAACGCCACGTACGCGGAAGCTCTCCATGCCCGCACTCCTCCGCTTTCTTCTGGGCCCCTCAAAGATGGCCGCGATCGGCTTCCAAGATCCGGATCTTTCGGACGACGGGCCAAGAGTGAGATCTCTCGGCTATCCGCTTCCGCGGCCGCTGCTGCCGCCATGGACGAGAGAAGTACGGCCGGCTCGGAAGAAAACTCGCCTAGGTACAATGTTGTTGGTTGTTGGTTGTTGTTGTTGTTGTTGTTGTTGTTGTTGTTGTTATTGTTATTGTTATTGTTATTGTGGTTCTTGTTGGTTTTTTCTTTCTTCTTGTACCTACCGTCCGCACGAAAGGTAATCCTGGCCGTCTGGCCGGCAGCTCTCTCTCGTCTGATGTCCGTCTCTTGTTTGGCGCTTGAGATCCCTAAGCTGCCTGAGCAGCAGGCGCAGAGCCCCCCCCTTCCATCCTCATGATAGCTTAGACCCAAATCGAAGAGATGAATATGTTAGGTATCGTTGCCACCGTCTGCTCCCCCTTCGTATCGTTGTCTTCTCAGAAGAATCACTACCGCCTCGTGACACCTGATCAGTGCTGCCACTCCATGCTTCCCTCCGATCTAAGTGTGTCCCACCCTAGCCGTGTCCCCCCCCAGAAAGACCCCGGGGAAATCTACAAATGGTCATGTCTGTCTCCACAGGAGCTGCGCGTAACCGCGGATCCCATGGCTGGTACTGTTCGGGCGGAAGTTCTTTGCCCTTCCTTGACCCCATCATCCCTGTACACCCGATTATTGGCAGGTCCAAGGTGTCGTCGACCCTCACCGAATTCATCTCGGGCATTTCCGAGCGCGGGCTAGACCTCGCCGTGCGATTGCGGAAGTCCATCTCGGAGCACGCCTCGGGGCTCGGCTTCTCCCCGCGGGTGTCGCGGCGCCGTCGTTTCTTTAGCGGGGAGGACGAGGATGAGGAGGGCGAGTACGAGGAGGATGAGGAGGGGGATATCAACGGTGGTGGGAGTGCTGGCTTCGATGTTGATTTTTCGTGGCACCCGGGCCACTTCTCGGAGCCGAGCGGCACGCAGGAGCAGGTGCAGCAGACTTGCGCGATCGTGGTGCCGGGAGAGGGTGCAGCAGGCTTTGCCGAGGGAACGGTATCGCCAGCAGCAACACCGACAGCAGTAACATCGGCCACCGGTCGGTACCGATTGGACCAGCAGGCGACTACTTCTCCTCCTCCTCCTCCTTCTCCTCTGACGGGCGTGTCACCGGCGGCGGCGGACACCCACGCCCCGTCTGTCGCCAAAGAAGGCGCCCATGCTGGCGGCAAGCGTCGAGGGCTGGGCCCGTTTCGGAGCCCATTTCGCGGAGCCGTCGTTACGGAAGCTCCGAGTCCCATCACTCCGGGATCTGGCAGGACTGCTCTCGATCCCGCCCGCAACAACAGCGGCGGTGGCGATCTCTTGGTGAACTCTCCCGCCGGGACGACGGCGGCTCTGAGCGGCCGTCGGCGGCACCAGCGGTCGCTCGGAGGCGGCGCGGCCGGCGGCTCGAACGACCCGTCCCTCCGCGCGCTGCTGGCGTCGGGAGAGTTTTTTCGCTCGACGGAGGGGAGGGTCGAAAGTGCCGGCGGCACCAGCAATGACAAGCCCTCTCGGGCGTCAGACAAAGACCTCGAGAGGGAGAGAGCAGCTACCACTCGTGATGCGCGGCAGGCGGAAAGAACCACCCCCCCGGAGCACATCGGGCGGGGAGAACCGCGTCGCTTCGAGCGAGGCAACGATAAGAATCCTGCAGCGGTTGCGGGGCCGCCGCCGGTAGGGGGAGGGAGGGAGGACCATCCGGTTTGCGGGGCCCCGTCGTCCATCCACCGGGGTGGTAGCAGCGGGAGCGGGGTTGGGCGAGGTGACCTCGGCGGTGGATTCGAAGTACAAGGTGTTGGTCATGGAGGACGGGGGGTCGGGAACTTCGAGGTCGAAGGCGGTGGTTGCGGAGCCCGGCCTTCTTCCTGCGCTGATTCCGCGGCGGCAGTTGTTGTCGCCGGGGGTTGTGTTCATGGTGGTGCTGGGGAGGCGGTGACGGGTGTCGTCGTCGAATGCGACGAGGAGGCGCACGTATCGGCGGGTCTCGTTGAAGAGGATGGCCTTGCGGGCGCGAGACGCGACGAGGGTCTCCGCCATGACCGCCACCACCCTCTAGACACTACCTCCATCGTCGGTGGTGGTTCGGGTGGCCGGACAAGCGGTAGCTGTAGCAGCGCCGGCGCTTGCGACGCGCGCGGAGAAGGGGGAACGGGAGGAGGAGTCGTCGACCACCGCCGTGCCGGTGGTGACCGATCGCCGAGAAGAAGAGAGGCGCTTCCGCAGCAATCCGCGGCAGGACCGGCCTCGGCACCCCCCCCGGAGAACTCTCGCCTCCTCTCGACGACGGCGGCCGTCTCAAGCAACCCGGACATGGGTCCGCACAGACGGAAACGGCTGGACGACTTGTTCCCGCCCAATGATACGAGCGCCGGCGACATTGCAGCACCAGCGGCGGCGACGGTTGTACCGCGTACTGACGATGGTGGTGCTGGTGCTGGTGCGGGCAAGGGGACGCAACGCCTGCCCCTGGACGACTTGCTGCGCGACATGTGGGCGGTGTCCTCCGCGGAGGGGC